TCCTCTCCTCTCCTCTCCTCTCCTCTCCTCTCCTCTCTCTTTCTCTCTCCAGTCTGCCTTCCATCCCAAGATTATCCATTCTCTTCTCAAATGTATGTGGCTTAGAAGGGTGGCCCTATGCACTGACTTTCCATGGTCTCAGTTTAGTTTAGTTGCCCAACATACTGTGTAAATATTCCTAATTCCCATTTTCAAAATCTTTGGAGAGATGATAAGATCTGACATCAAACCTACTCCTACCCATTTCAGATGAGATATTTATTTTCAATGTTTTGCCAAAAGTGTGGGAAAGCATGGAGTTAGGGAGGACTGCTCAAGGTCATATCTTATAAATACATTTTCCCTGGCCCAAAGCTGTGGATGAGTGAATGAGTGGGGCCAGAAATCCCAGAACAGGGATCCTAGACTGAGCAGACACTTTAACTGGTGTCTCCCGTAACTCTGGAGTAAAGTTGTTAGGGCTCCCATCCATAATTTATCAGATCGAATATACTTTTCACCTTCATACTCCAGATCCTCTTCTAACTGTTACCACCTATCTTATGCATCCTTTTCTCCCTGATTCTTAGTGTCGTCTGCCAGGTGTAGTTTACTCATTTCCTCATAATTTTATCACTGCTATCAGTTAAGCAGTCAGTCCTTTAAACTTCCTCTATCATATCGACTGCAAAGACTCAAAGCCCACACTGACCACAAAGTTCAGTTTGGATTAATCTCCCCTCTGAAAGGTTTCCAGGTTCCCATCTGGAGTTTATCATAATTTGGTTTTAAGTATTAGTTTTTCAACAGCTATGGTTTATTAAAAATCACATATAATTAATGCCTAATGCAATTACTGTGTTTATAAATCAAGTTTGGTTATTTTGTGAATTTAATTTATTATTTCATAAATCTATCTGTAAGCTCTTTGAGGGCAACTCCCTCGGAGAATGTAGCACAGTAAGAGGCATGTAAGGTAGTAAATAAGTCATGTGAAAAGAAAGATTTAGAAAATATCAAACCCATATTACACCAGGTGATAGAATAGATACTAAATTAGGAAAATAAGCTCTGGAAAACTTTCCTGGAATGTTCTGATAGTTTGTGACCTTACCAGGATTTGAAACTTTATCTTTTTAATTCAATGTCCAGTGGTACCTATCAAACTAAGTAGTATAATAGCAATTTTACTTTAAGGAAACAAACCCTATTCAAGAATTTTAATCAGTTATCCACAAATTCAGTTAATGTGGTATTACAAAGTTTCTTTATCCATTTATTATTGCTCTTCTGTACCTTTCTTGATAACTTTGTGTTAGTCATTAATTTGTACTCTATGTACAAGAAACTAATAAGATAGCCTGTCTTTAATAACATTCTCTATTTCAGATTCTACTTGTTTAGACTTCCAGGGCAATTAATCTGAATAAATGTCTTTATTATGTACTGCCCCAAGACTCAGATCTGCCTTTGGGAGTTTGTAGCTCCCTTGAAAGACTGATTAGGAGACTTTTTTCCATTCAGTTTCACACTCCTTCCCTACAGAAGAGGAACTTCTATGCCCTGGGTTTGGGGACAGCACATTGTGCCTGGTAAAAAAGACACTGTGGAAACTAGTCATTGTTTATTTGGAAAAGTCGAAAAACATAATAGAAAGAAAGAAAAAAAAACTCTTTGGACATTCTTCTTTTGCATTCTATTTTGATAAATAAAAGTACAAAATTCTATGTCTGATAAAGAATCTATGTAACTATTCAGCTAATCAACAAGCATTGGTAATTATTCTACCTCCATAAGCTAAAGTCTGTAGCATTTTAAAATAAAAAGGAATAGAAGAACAAAGCCCCCCCTTCAAGAAATAAAGGGTATAAGTGGAATAGTGACAAACTTTGCATAACTAATTATATTTTTGTTTCTGATTTAATATTGCATTCACCACTCTCCCTTAGGGCTATCGTGTTTTTTTCAACTTCATCATAATGAGAAACGCTGGACAGAACTCTGGCAGAGCACTTCCTAATTTAGGCCGTGCAGAATGCACTGGCTTTATTAGAATTCATGTTTGGTACAAATTGTTTCATTTTATGAATTTGGGGAAAGAAATCAGAGGTAAGAGTCAATGGTCCGCTCCAGCAGGGGCAGGGAGGAGTACAGCTCTGATAGGCAGTGTGTCCCACATGGAACTGGGTCTTACTCAGTGTTTACAGATTAGGTTATTTTTTATGCATGGTGACATCATGTTCCACCCAGCATGGTACATAACTATACATCATAAAAAGTGAAACAATTAGAGTCAAGGTCTCATTTCAAACAATTAAATCTTACTCTCCAGAAAGAGGATGGTTGGGCACAGCACATGGATTTCAATACTTACCAGTGCTGCGCTTGCTTCTTGGGCCTTAATAATATTTCATTAGATCCTAATAACAGCACCATGGCATAAGTGCAATTATGCTCATTTGGGAGATGAGCAAACTAATGGTGAAAAGTTAAACAAAGTATTCAAGTTTATGCAGTCAGACTATATCAGAGCATATTCAGGTCC